TTTTTTTTTTTTTAACATATAGGATAACTACTGGAAAAGAAAAGCGATGAAAAAAAGGGAAAAAATTACATTAAATTTATTTTCAATATTTTTTGAATACATACGCATTTGGTTGTTTCACTGTTCCTTTTTTTTCTTTTCAGTTTACAATTTCATTCATATAATATCGGCTTATCTGTTGCCATACTTAATCGAAATGCTCTGCTATGCATGGATTTTGGTGTTGATGAAACGAGTGAATAAGGAGAAGAATGCCGAAAAATCACAGTTTTGCAAAAAGTAAAAAAAAATAAAAACAAAAAAGAAATTTAATAATAAAAAATTAAAATCATTGTTTTACTTCTAAGGCCTTAAAATGTTTTGAAAAAATTCCTATTTTTTGCTTTTACCTCATTCTTAATTTACTGATAAATATCATGTAAACAGGTGAATCTATCTATACCAGTTATATTTATTATTTTGCTTTTTCTAGGCTTCGATTGTTAGACTGTTTTTGTTTTACATCGACCAAATCAAGTTCCACATGTTCCAGTTTGGATAATCCAACTGAAATGTCGAGTATTATGCGCGGTAAGCCTCGTACTTGTTCTTGCTATTTTCGGCCTCTTCAAAATTTTTAACCTCTCAAAATTGTAACGAAGAACAGTCTTGATTTAAAAGGCAAAAGATTTTGAAGATTGTTTGCTGCTTACTGCATATAGACGACAGGAAAACGATGCGGTGGAAAGGAAAAAAATAAATTGAGAAAATGTGTAATCACCAAAAAAAAAACCCGTCTTTTTTTGCTGTTGATTAAGCTTAAAAATATTCAGCTCGAACGTCTGACGAAAACTTGGCTACCGAAAAATCATTACATCCTTCAGTCGGAACTAAATCATTGTCTAATGGTTTTTATGCACCGGTTAGTGTCAACTTTGAAAGTGGAGGATCATTGATTATGGCAAAAAATGCGGAAAAAAGACCAGCCTGGAAAAGTACCGTTGCTGTGGCAAGGCGAAAGACACGAAGAAAAGTAAGTGTTATTTGTTGTTCTTTTCTTCTTTTTTTTTTTTTTTTTTTTTTTTTTTTT